ATAGAACACACAAGATTCCTCACAGTTCAGCAATTTTCTACCTACAGGCTACATCTAGAGATGTTGAACCCCATGTGAGATTTCACTACACTTAATGCGATGATAAAACCCTATAATCGAAAGGTACATCTATGAAATAGTTTTAGGAATAAAAAATGGTTTTAGAAATTAGTACATTAAAAGGCATTACCAAATGCTGGTTCCAACTATATATATGTAGGGTGTTGGGAGAGTTGGACTGGAAACAAACCTAAATTCTGACAGTTTTTTTGCATGAAGTGGCCACTCTTAGACTCGAACCTTCCTTCTCTCCTCTGTCAGCTGATGAGATTTTACAATCATTCCAAGCAATGGCCCCATTATTTTTTATTAATATATAAATATTTATAAATATATTTGTATTAACATAAAATATTCCACACTACTTTACTTCATAATTTTTACAAACCAGTAATTTTAATGAATTATATGTTTATTAAAGAAAAATTTTCATATTTTTGCAAAATACACCATTCAACATGGTTTTGGTAAAAAAAAAAAAAAAGAAAATACATTCACTATATGCATACCATAAATCTATTTACTGTGGTATCATGCAGAGCTCTCTGTTGCTTTGGCCCCTATTCAAATTGGAATTTACTACTTACTAGTTATAAAGCTCTATAGGAACCTATCCTATACACTCACTCTTCCCTAGCAACTTGCACCAATGAGTTGGTCAGTTTAGACTTCAAATAGGGACCGGGGTTCCTACTTTCATCTCATCTCGTCCACAAATCAGTGACCCACTCAAATGGACAGACTAATCTTTTTTGTTTTTTTTTTTATTTTTTGAATTACAATCAAATTCTGTGATTTAAGACCACCCTAAGGAGTCTATACCCAACCAAAAAGAGAGTCTATACCTCAAATCACATGATATGTGACTTAACTTTCTTTTTCTTGTTGGTGGAATACAGGAAAAAAAAAAAAGAAGACTAATAGATATCAGTTCAATTTGCCTCATAAACCTATAAATTTGCCCATCGTCTCATAATTAACAAAATGAATAAGAAACAATCTCCCGTGAAAGTTGGAGTAACAATTTAACCTTGACCATCCCCTCTAACTTTACTCTTTGGCACAGTTCCCTTAGGCTGCGTTTGGAAATGATGCAAATGGAGTGTAAATTCTGGTTCAGAGTAAATTTGCATTCTAGTTCACTTTTGCCTATATTTGGCAACATTACATTTATGTATTGACAAATGACATATCAATGCATATTTATATTGATAATAAGTTGTAAAAGTACATCAATGAAAAAGAAGTAAATTTGCATTCAAGTGGGCTTTTGATAAAAAAAAAAATATGCTTTATTGAAATTCATGTTTGTATCCATTACAGCTAAAAGTTTGTTTGGTAAGAAGGTAAATTTGTCAATGCAAAACTAACCCAACTTTGTAATTTATATGAACCGTTTTACACTCTACATATTTGCATTGTTTCCAAATGCATCCTTAAGTGTAAAAAAAAAAAAACACTAAATTAGAGTGCCTCCCATAGACTCATCATCATCATCACCATTATTCAAGCTTTAACCCAATCATATAGGGTCGGTTACATGAATCCTGTTTAACCATTCAATTTAAAACATGTACATATCATGCAATAACATTACTAAAAAAATTAAATATCAGATTATTTATTTAATTTTATAACTATAATTTTTAATTTTATTATTTTTTTGGGGGAAATTTTTTTATTTAAAGTTTTTGTATAAATAATAATTCTATTTCTTCAAATCATAAATACATTATTATTTCTTCGAATAATAACTCTATTATCATTATATACGCTTTTGAAATGGCCACATGCGCACATGACAAGTCTAAAAGGGATCAAAAGACTCAAAATTATATATCAGTTGTAAAACTAGGGGCTAGTACACCTCTGTATCACTATGTATTGAAGTGTATCCATCTATACGGTGCAATATGGCCCAATATCAAGGCTTATCATACCATTATGCACGATTAAGAGGATACACTCTTAGTCATAGTATAACTTGTACCCATGTCCACCAATGCTGATACCATATGCCTCACATTGAGTGTATCGTATCAATATTTTAATCATTGGTTATAAGCACTTAAATCATTTCTTACTACTTTAACCCAAGTCCTTATTAGTGTATTTCTAAGCCTTCTAGCTCTTCAACTTGCAACAAATAACTTCTTATGGGTGCTATGTTGTCTTCTATGCACATGATGAAATCATCTTAGCATTTTCTCATTTAATCACCTATTGGAGCTATCCCTAGGTTTTTTTATTCTATTCTTTCAAGCTTTTCACCTATGAGTATATTGTGTACTCCTAAACAAAACTTGACCAAATATATATGGCTTATCTAAAATAGAATAAAGGTCTGTTTGGTTTGTGGGAATAAGGGTATGGAATTTGAATTAGAATGGTCCATTATGTTTCCAACTGTTTGGTTAGGCAGAATGGGAATCTCATTCCATTTCCTAGTGGAATGGCATAACCTCATTTGAGGGAATGAACATTCCCTCCGTCTCCCTTGGGGGAATGAGAATTCATTCCAGCTAATTCCGATTCCCATATGAACCAAACAGATGGGAGGAATAGACCCATTTCAATTCCAATTCCAACTACAAACCCTAAGATCAATGGGTTAACAAATATTCCATTGTTTCAAATGGTTGGCTTCTTATTATATACTTTGACTATCCCTCTCCTTAAATTTACTTTAAGTGAAGAAGTGCTTCATTACTAACAAATTAATTATTATTTTGAAAATTTCCATTACTAAAACAATTTAGAACAAAAGTTGTTCTAAAAATTTTTCTGAAACCAAGATTTAATCCTTTATCCACCAAATAATAAAAGGAGAAAATGTAGTTTGGAACAAATTCAACTCAAACTTGATTGACCTATATCAAATTGATCATCTAGATTAAAAGTTTCAAAGTTGGATGCACAAAAATTGTTTTAGTAATCTTGAATAAAATTTCTCAATCAGCAACGAAAACCAACAGAATAAATTAGTAAGTTAAAAGCGATACATAACATTTAAGTTGTCATTAATTTAATCAAACATTTTAGTGGAAAATAAACTAAGTAGAAAATTTAAGTTCTAAATCACTAATAATGAGTTATCTTTTGTTCAAAAGTTCATTCATTCTAGATATTGAATGATAAAGATTTTAAGGTACCCAATGGAACCATGAATCATGATGACTAAGCCATGCAAGTTTATGAAAATTTGGATTCAGACATTGAAAAAAAAAGTCTCACGTAATTTCTAGTAAAAATATGTTTGTAGTTAGAATTGTTCATTTGGCTTGAAGTAGTGTGTACTACAATATCTCAGTTTTGTTTGGTGTATAATGAAAATTCCTTAAAGAAAAAGCTCGAAACCTAATTAAGCTAGAGGATTAAGTGATGAATTTGGGTTGACGAAACCCTACCACTTTTCAGGACTCTGGCTGACCTAGGATTGATTCAGAAATTTGGGGTGGGGATGGAATTTGCATCTGAAATGCAGTCATCACATTGTGCTTACTGCACTTAATATGGTGCGTCTTCATTGACTAACAAAGCCATCCACAGTGTTACACCACTGCCCTTAGATTGTAACAGACCCTAAGTACAAATAAATGTACTAGCTAGTATTCAATACTCGTATTGTAACAGTACCTTAAATAATAATGTTAATAGGTTTTCTGAGTGCTGGCCCACCAAGCTGGAAATCATACATGTAGCAGCTATGGAGGTGGTCCAAAAGACTGTAAACATGTTTCCCATCTCAGCACTTAGCTCTTGCAGTTTCAGTATAAAAAACTTTGCCACGTGGCACAAGTGATTCATTTTGTTTCACTTGTTTTGTAAAGAAGAAGAAGAAGAAGGTGCAGCAAAGTCTTAAATGGAAAAAGTACTATACATACAGTATAGAGGGTAGACCCTAGAACTGATATGGACACAAGACTGTGAATGTACCCAATCAATGGCCCCTAGATGTATGATTTGTTTGGCCCTACCATCTCTTGACCCACCTAAGAGAAGATAAGATATAGGGAAGAAAGCCCATATATATATATATATGAAGTTAGAATACAACCTAGAAATAACTTTCTACCCCACCCCACCACCAAAAAAGAAAAGAAAAATAGAGTTAATATACAAAATTAAATCCTATGTACACTTCACTCTCATTGATCAATAATGGTATGATAGCCATCAGATTAGGACTGAACAATGAATAAGTTAGACAGATTGATCTTAACTGTATATGAACATATATAGGACATATTACAGGCCCTTACAATAATATTGTCCACCATCTGAAAGTTGACAGTTGATCGGATGGTTGGACCATTCAATTGGCATGCTTTTTCAATATGTCCTATATACATGTAGCTTATTGTTTTGACATTCAATATATATCTAGTTGGGGTCGGCACAACTCCTGTACATCTTTCCTCCAAAATGCATGAACATTAAGGACATGTTTGGATGCAGGTTTTCTCATGTGATGGGTGTGTTCTTAGTCCAAATAAGGGGAAACAAAGTATCTGTTAGAAAGGGCGGTTTTTGATTCTTATCTGCAAATTGTAGAGTAGGGGCTGAAGGGAGNGGGGGGGGGTACACCAGAAAATGGGAAAATGTACCCTTTTATAGGACTAGCATACCTGCAAGGCTACCAATGAATAGCTAGCTTCTTTCTTGGTTCTAGTCAATCCAAACAAATCCTCAATTTGTTTGGAGAGATAAAAACTGGTTATGTGGATTTGAAGTTAAAAAGCAAAATACTTTAGGTGGTAAGAAAGAGGGGTTCAAGATTATGGAGCGGGTGATTAAGGGAAAATAAACAAACCCAAGGATGTGGAATTAGGGTTTGATCAAGTCAAATCTCCAAAATTGTGAAATTGTGGGTTTATGGAAAGAAGCACCAACCAAACTTTCACCAAGAGAGGGAGGAGAACAGAGGGGAGGTAGGCTTTAGTGGTTGAGAGACAAATGCACACGTTAAAGCTTTCACTAAAATTTCCTTTTTTCTCTCAAAGAAAAAGAAGGGAAAAGGAGTAAAAAGGGAATCAAGTGTTAAGCAGTCTCTCCCTCTCTCTAGCCTCCTTAAGTGTCATTTTCTCACATATACTTCACACAAACAAGCAAGAAACAACCATTTCACTTCACACCTTGTCCTCCGCTCGCCCTTCTCTCTGTGTCCGTGCCTCTCTCCATCTGTCTTTCTCTCTCCCACACTCTCTTATTCACCTCCTCTCTCCCAACTCTCCAACCTCTGCAACTACTCCACCAATTCATCAACCCCATCAGAATAAAACCCTGAAATCTATAATCCTAAAATTCATCATCCACACCGTCGGAACTGCCCAAAGCTCTTCTTTCCTCGTCCACAGAGAACACTGATAGAACAAGTCGGAGAAGAAAGAAAAGGGGGCAAAAAAGCTGTAGAGATTTACAGGTGTTGTTGCTAGCCTGTGATGGAGCTTTTTCCGGCCCAACCCGATTTATCACTTCAAATTAGTCCCCCGAACAGCAAACCGACATCAGGATGGAAAAGAACAGATGAAGAGTTAGACTTGGGTTTCTGGAGGAGAGCCCTAGACTCCAATAACACAATCACTTCAATGGCAAAAAGCGATACTGGTTTCGAGCTCTCCTTGTCGAATCCCAGGACCTCAGAAACTAACTCTAATCATCTTCACCATCTTCTCCACCATGGCCACAGCAACCTAATCCATGCCAATCAACACCATCATCACCACCATCAGAACCAGCAAAATCAATATCTACATCAACAACAAGCACTTCAGCAAGAGCTTGGATTCTTAAAACCCATAAGAGGAATTCCCGTCTATCATAACCTTCCTTCCTTCCCTTTCGTTCCCCAACACACGCTAGATTCTTCTGCATCTACTACTACCACTACCACTTCAACTTCCTTCCCTTCTCATCAAAGTCTCATGAGATCGAGATTCTTATCGAGGTTTCCAGCCAAGCGAAGCATGCGAGCTCCTCGAATGCGATGGACTACCACCCTCCATGCCCGCTTCGTTCACGCAGTTGAGTTATTGGGTGGCCACGAAAGTAGGCTTTGCTTTTCCTTTTTCCTTTTTGCAATTTATCTCCTTCGTTTATGGGCTCCAAGAGCTAGAAATAGTGTCTATTGATGTTGTACTGATTTGTTTGATGGGATTTCAGGGGCTACACCCAAATCCGTTCTTGAGCTGATGGATGTGAAGGATCTCACCCTGGCTCATGTAAAATCTCATTTACAGGTAAAATAATCTCATAATCTTTAAAAATCTCAACTGGGTTTTTCGATCTTTGCCTGAAAATCAAATGGTTTTTTATAAATTGAAGAAAATCTTCGAGTATCTTCTTTAGTTTCCACCTTTTCCTCCGTTGTTTCCTTCTTATTTGTTTTACTCCTTTAAGTTGTAGTCTTTGATACAGTTGTCGTCGTGTTTGAAAGCTTAAAGTTGCGTTTTCCCGGCCTACATTACTGGAAAGTTTATCACAGACATTGCAAACTCCGAGATTTCTCTGCAAAGGGTCGCTCAAACCCTCAACCCTTCTCTCTCTCTCTCTCTCTCTCTCTCTCTATCTCTCTCTCTTTTCTTCGAAATATCTGGGTTCTGCAAGTTAACAGGCTGCTTTATGCTTGGAAGAAGAAACCATTCGTAAAAACAAACAGAGGTAGAGAAACATTTAAAAATAGTAAATAGTAATATTCATCTGAGAAGACGAGTAATAAGACAAAGCCCAAGGAATTCAAAACCAGTCCTAGCCGAGCCGAGCCGATTTCCTAACCAAGTTTTGCAGATTAAAGAACTATCTACATCCTGTAATTCCGGTCTGCATTGTACAATATAATAGATTAAGAACACCCATTAGGAAAAAGATAATTGTTTTTCCTTTTACAGAGAAAACAGCAAAATCCAAGTACGAAACGCCATCATTTCTCAATGATTTCTTCTTCCCGGGGTTACCCTAAACCATCCCAGAGTCATGGTTAACGTGTTTATTTAAGGGGAATTTAGAGTTCAGTCCTTCCTTCCAAGGAAGAGCGTAAGAATTAGGACCTTCGGCTGCTGGTAGAAAAGCACGGCCTCGTAACTCATGTTTTCATGTAAGTTTAAGATTCTCTCAAACATGGGCAACGTGGCCTTGTTATCTACCGTCGGGAGGAGCTTTTCCTTCTTCCCTTTTCATAGGTTAACCCCTTAAAGTCCGTTCCGTGCATATATAGAATCAGACATGCATACATACATGTACCCATACATGAATGCTGATGTCTCACTCACATATATGTATTAATTTGCACCGTACTAAGACCTGTGTTTAAGCTTTTTTTTTTCTGTGGGTAGAAGTAGTGTTTAAGCTTGTCTCTGCGTGCCATATTTACTTGTGTACATTGATTTCATATGTATGTGCTTTAGAGGAATTAGCATTGTAATAGTGGTCATCTACATCCTTGATTTGCATTTGGTTGCAGATGTATCGAACCGTAAAGACTACAGATAGACCTGCAGCATCTGGTAATCACCGTGTTCCTTGCATGTCTACCTTGTGATCTTTTTTCCCTCAGTTCTAGGTGTGGTTCTTGAGTCTGGAGACAGTCGTATTTTGTATGATGGGCACTTATTGTTGCTTATGGCAGGCCAACCGGATGGATTCGACAATGGGTCAGCAGGAGAGGTTTCTGATGATATCATGCATGAATCACGAGGGTCTGAGCTAACAGTGCAACAGGGTAGGCAAAGTATGCATCAAGATCAGGATTACTGTGGCCTCTGGAGCAATAATTCCTCCAGGTGAGACTGTTTTTCTATCTGCTTGAGTTTTGAGTTTGACCATCACCCATGAGATGATGATAATGTGCTTCATTGATGTTTTCATGAGAGATAAATGGATCGATCTGTGTTTTGAATCTAGAGCTTTGTTTGGAACCAGCCAGTTGTTTGAGTACTTAAATAGCCATGTGAATTCTCAAGAAGCAAAATGGTGTAATTTCTGACTTGCATTTTTGGATTTAATTTAGACAATAAATAAGTGCATTTATGTTAATTCACTGACAGATATAATGGAGTATCATTCTGAAAATGCTGCACTTGTAGAGTATTGGCAGAAATTGTTTGGGATGGAGACTTTAGTTCTTTTTTTGGCCCCAAGAAGCATGTAAAAGGGACATGTGAAGTACTTTTCTTTTGTTTGGTTATATTTATTTTCTTTCCATCTTTCCTTTTTACAAACCTGAAGACTAAGGGTAAGGTAGATATGGATTCTAAATGAGTATCCATGTCTGCTTGCTATTTCTATTAACAGCATTGAAGAATAAATATGAGTTCAGTTCTATTAATAGAGCAGCTACCTGATCAAGTTCTCAGGTACAGATACTCTCTCAGTGTCCTAACCATTTTATGGATGAATAATGCTGTATGTGCGCGGACTCTCTCTCTCTCTCTCTCTGTGCGTGTATGTGCGTGCGTGCGTGCGTGCGTGTGCAAACACAAAAACCAGAAGCAGAAAGGCCGATTAATCACAAAAAGAAGCACAAGTGGTGATATATGCTTTGTTCTGTCTGTCTAGAATAGTTGAACACTAAAAAACCATGATGAGGTAATAATCCCTTTCAGTAGTTGAAAAAGAAAGTGAAGGAATCATCAGCTCTTCCTAACATTCCAAGACATGCACCCATGACAAATCCACCTGAAATGGAGATATCTCTTTCCTTGGGATTTTGTGGGGTCACTTAAAGGCAACCAAATGGGACCCACCAAGGGGGTAGAAACCTTGGTGCCAAAGCTATGCCCCATGAAGCTTCCTTGCTATTTCTTGTTATGGATAATGGGCTATCACATGGGGGGAGGGGTTCTACTTTATTTCAATCACCACAAATAATGATAAAGCTAAGGATAGTTGTAAACAAGTTAATAGTAAAATATTGCTTTCTTTTATCGGTTTGCTTTTTTTTTTTTTTATGTTTTGATGCATGGCTTCCACTGATAGGAAATATTCTCTCTTTGTGCTTGTGTTGATTTGCAGCAGGGAAGCTTGGTTGCATGGCAAACCAAGGGATTCCGTTGGACACACACCACCTTTTGAGGTACCCACTTATAACTCATGTCTCGTTCGGAATAACCTTGAGCTTCTGAATTTGACCGGGAATTGAAAATGCGTGTTCTATATGGGAATGAGAGAAGGAATAATATCTATTTCTCCTCTTTTTCCTTAAGCAAGAGGCAAGAGAGAAAAGGGGATGAGAACAGGAAAAAAAAAAAAGACAAGAACCTTTCAAAGGGTAATTTGGTCATTTCAAAGTCAAGGGGCACTTCTGTCATTTTCGAAGTCCAAGGAGAGAAGTGGTTTCATGGGATACAGACAACTTACTTTTTCTTTTGCAAATCCCCCCCCCCCCCAAAAAAAAAAAAAGAAAAAAAGAAGATTAAATTAGAATAGTTAGAGTATGATCTAACCTACTGATGGATGATCGAGAGATAGATGAGTTAGTGGGCCCATGCATGAATGAAATAATAGGAGTATGATAGGCTATTTGACAAGGACAAGAGTCATTGCTCTTCCATATATATTCTTAGTCAAGAAGGCTTCATTTTCAGTTTCTTTATATCTTACCCTAAAAGTGAGAATAGGAGTATGATTACACTTTCCTATCCTACACATTCTTTTTTTTTTTTTAAGACTTAATGCTTTTTTTGTTTTGTTTCAGAAGGAGATGGACCCAAAAAGCTTAAACTATGAAAGAATATCGGATTTGAACTCATCAAGCCTCACAGCAGGGACAGGGACGAGCCCCAAGAAGCCCAATCTAGAGTTCACCCTGGGCAGGGCAGTTTGATTTTGATCTCATCATCTGGTGGAGTACTCATTTTGAAATCATTATATCTCTGAAGGGATGGATGGTAATGAGAATCAGGTACCCACTTGGAAATCAGAGAAAAGAAAGAAGAAAGAAAAAGAGAGAGAGAGAGATAAAAGAAAGAAAGAAAGACAAGGAGACAAAAGAGACAGAAAGCAGAAAAAAGGAGAAGGGTGAAAAAAAAGCATGTCCTTCCTATCAAGCTTAAGACCCAAAGCAGAAGCATATTATATTCCTACGTAAATATGAAATCTAATTGATGATTTTTATATGTTTGCACTTCCTTCTCACACTTTATACTTTAGAGAGAGAGAGAGAGAGAAAGAGAGGAGTGTCTTTAACAGCTTAACTATCTTAAAGTAGAATGTGATCCCTTGGTAATTGCAATGGGGCCCTTTCCTTTTGCATAGAAAATTTTGGTTTCTACCAAAGCCCAAAGGAGTTGGGTGGAGGGTCTTTCTTCATTCTTTGGGGTTCGCACGTGCTCCCACTTTACACTCCAACAAAGGCAAAACATAAAAAAAGTAAGGAAAATTTTGAAAAAAAAAATGTATATAATACCATATATTAGGGCGACAATCTCGGATCCGACCCGCCAAACCGACTGCAAACACGTCCGGTTTCTTAAATGGGTCTGTGTTAGTTGGGTTAGATTTGGTTGGGGGGACCTCGCTCTAATTTGTAGTCACACTCACACCTCACGAATCAGAATAGCTGTTATAAAATGGGTGTTTTTTGTTGGGGGTGAATCTGTGAAGATTATGAATTGTGCTTCTGGGCAAATAAGATGATCAAGTCCATGAAGCTTCATGATTTAATGTCTGTACCCTGATGTTTTTAATGGCTGTATCTGTTTGTCTGTCCCCATTAGCCTCTTTCTACGTCTAAGCTCTTGTGGTGACCAGTTTCTGGTGCAGAATCAAAATAATGGATCGCCATATATGATAGTATCCTTATTCTTTATTCTACCTCTCAATGAATTCATCCAAAAACTCAACCACTAAGACAAGGTGTTTAAAGTTTAAACCACGAAAACTGAATTGGGATTAATTGCTACTGGACAAAATGAAGCTTCTAATATCCTTTTATGCTTCTTCTAGAGAAGGTATGCATCCTTGTAAGCAAGTATTGTCATCATATTCTAAGCTTAGTGCTCATTTATATTCCATATTCTCTCCTGTAGATTCCTATACAATGCATGTGAACCTTAATTATCCTAACTGGATAAATCAACCATTCTTTTTCCTAGAAAAACAGATCAAACAGGACAAAGAAAAAAGGGTCCTTGTATGGGTATCCTGTCAACCATCTGTACCCCAAATAGTACTGGTGTGTCTCACAACCTTGGAGTTGTGGATGGATTTTTGGCCCTTTCCTACACACTTGAAAAATCAATCAAAACTTGAAACTAGGATTCTCAACCACATGGATTGCCCAGCTCCTAGTACCACACTGGCCCTACTATATATGCTTCTTCTTTTTTCTCTTCTTCTATTATCCAGGTCCTAATTTGTACAGGTCTGATTCATACTTGGGAAGTTACATTTTGTTCTCAACACATATCAGCTGCAATATTTGGTCCCTTTTCTGGTACTTGATGCCTACCCATACAAGAGAAGAATCCTTTTATACTTATAAAAATTGAATAATTTTTTGTGGTACGTACCCCTCAACCCAATAACACACACACATATATATATATATATATATATATATATATATATATATATATATAATTTATGGTCGGATAAGATGAAAGGAATTATTTCAGTTTAATTATGCATAAGCTCAAACTGTTGTCATCGCTCACCGCTCCAATGACAGTAAAATAGATGCGAGATCATTTCTACAAGTGAGACTATTTCATTTCATATAAAAAGAAACTTTAATTTTAAATAATCAAAAGCAATAACAAAGTCATGTACATATATCAGAGAGAGGGAGAGGGAGAGGGAGAGAGAATGTTAATCATTCAAACATGCCTTTATTAAATTATCCAACCAGGATGTTTTGTATAAAAAAGCAACCTAGATGGGACCTAAAATTTAGGCACAAGTAATTGATAGGAATGTGAATGTTTATAATAGACAATGACAATACAGAATAATATGTGCCTATACTATAATATTGGACTACCAATATGTATTGTAGGCACTAATATATTATGAAGAGGTGTTGAAAAGTATGATAAACAACAGAAAGAAGGAAATAATGTTTGAGAATTCGTGTTCAGGAGTGACAATTAAAGAATATTAGTTGCATTATTTCACACATTTTTACATTGAACTTAGAATGCATTCTCAAATGATAAAAGGATGAGCATACACCATTGAATGGGCACAAAGGGATAAAGTAGATCAAAAACCAATCTGAATAGATGATCCCATGATGTTCTTTCTGCTTTATTTATTCATTTGGATGAAAGAAAATACAGTTCTGTTAGAGGCTGAAAATTTCTTTTGGTTCACATTATCTTTATTGGGACCTATACACTGATGGGCACATGTGTCAAGTATTGAGGCCCAGCCAATCTACAAATCCTCAATGAAGCCCCAAATTCAGCTACTTATTTGTTTCCCTGCACTTTCAGGTTGGGTACAATTAAGGCCCCTTTTGGTTCGCAGGAATAGGGGTCTGGAATAGGCTATTTTGATTCTAACTGTTTGGTTGGGTAGAATTGGAATTCCATTCCCATTCCTACTACAATGACATTTTCCCATCTGAGAGAATGGTCATTCCTGCTCCTCTCTTGAGAATGAAATCTCATTCCTATTTATTCTAATTCTCATTCTCATTCTTGTATGAACCAAACAAACTATGGGAGTAGATCATTCTGATTCTGATACCAAAAGATTCTGATTCTGATTCTGATTGCGAACCAAAACGGACCCTAAGTTATATTTAAATGGAGTAAGACTAAAACTGTGCCTTAATCCTCCCTCATAAATTTCCCTGATAGTGGGGAGTGAAGGGCATTAACTTCCTATATAGGATTATTGGATTCTAGGAACGAATTGACTGATCAAAACTGCCAGACTGTGACTAAAGATAACCATTTCTTTTTCTCTAAAGCAAGGTAATTGCAGAAAGATGATCGAGTTGCAAAGATGTTAAAAGAAAGTGATATATTATTATTATTATTATTATTATTATAGTTGTAGATCCCTTTTTTTTTCCATGAAGCATTCTATTGATTTCTAAGAATATGTCTTCATTGACTTATATCCATGAATGTGATTGTTATTAGTTTTGATGATCCAATGGGCCAAAGCACTGGGGACCTCGGCACATTGTTTGTCATGAGCAAGCACCCGAAGTGAACTATCCCTTTCACCACAAGGGTGCCACAGCTGCCAGCTATGGGCAGCATGAGAGTTGAGAGAGAGAGAGAGAGAGAGTTTTGTTGCATGGGAAAACCAGGAAACCTCACAACAACTATAGAGAAATAAGACAATGTGACACCACATAAAGACATTGTGCAAATTTCTTGTTCTGGCTATAGCTGAATCTGTTTATGCTCCCCATAACAGAAGCTCCAAAAGCGCATTAAATGCACAACAGTGATCTCTTGTTCTCCAACTTTAATTGCAACCTTAATACTCATCAATCGGATATGTACCCTAGATTAGCCTAAACCTAATCTTTAAATAGTAGTAAACCAGTAATCTTGATCCACTTCAGTGTTACCCCTGAAGATTGTGGTTGAACTTGTGGGTTTTAAGTTTTAACTTCCAAAAACCAAAATGGAGACCAGATTCTCCAAGGACATTCAACCAATGTTCTTCTTTGTTATTGCCATTTAATTGCTTTCATCAGAGCCCTTTTTCTGCACATGTACTTTTCCTTCTGACTATTGCCTTTCCTCTTTAATTACCAGCTACTTTATTGGCCTAGTTCAAAACCCATTTGGAGCTTTTACTCCTGCTAATTAATGGCCTAATTCAAACCCCCCCATAGAATAGGAGGAGGCTGGATATATGAACACTAAAGGAGCTGTAAAGCATTTCAGAGAAGCAGAAATGGTGTAGGGGAGATGGGGAGGTTTATTTTTGTCTTTTTGGGGGTGTAGTGTGTAATAGGAAATAGGCCCTAGTTGAGCCTTCTTGTGCCACGCTTGGTGTGAAAACTTGGTCTGCATTGCTCGCCTTTTAGCAATAATTGCTGTCATGATTACTACCTATCAACTTTTGCTATTATTATTATTATAAATCTACACACACAGAGAGAGAGAGAACCCACCCCTAATTCAATTTCAGCCGATCGAGTTGGTTCTTCTAAGTCGGCTCATGCTCGACTTACAACACGTGATTCTCACGTGATAATCTTCCTTTTCCTTTCTTTTATTTTCGACAGTAATAGAGTAAAATCTCCAGTGGCTTATTTTATCGTTTTGTTTTCTCGTTTGCTGAGAAATTCAAAATCAAGTCCCTATGGCGATGGAGAATAATTAATTTAATAGGGAGGGCGGAGGGGATGTAAGGGCAGAAGGTACACTGACCAATTCAGCTCCTACAATAATACTTTATCACCTATTCTTGTCAACCCTAAATTTTTTCTAATTAAGAATGAGAGCTCCAGCTATGCCCTGCCCCATGCCCCAGTCAGACAATCTTAATTCTTTCCTTAATCCACCCAAATAATTTCTCTTCTCAAGTTTATAAAATTAAATAAACATATTAAATTTATATTTTTAGGGGTAAGTAGGAAACAACAACATTTAATTGTTTTATATTTATTATAAAACTGTAATCTATCTATCTATCTATCTATCTATCTATATAACAAGATAGTTTACCCATTAAACCAATAATTACCCATTTTTTTTAAATTTCTTATTTTTTTAATTCCATATAATTACCCATTAAACCAATAACAAAATAATTTAGGCTTAACTATTTCTAACAACCATAAAGAAAGAGGGATTTATTCTTCTAATAGTTAGCCAAGTGACACCGTTTTCCCCCACTTTCTCCTAAATTGTCTCTAATTCCTATTTATCTCTTAAATTATCCCTAACTCCTATTTATCTCTTAAATTATCTCCAATTTAGTGGAGAGATTCCCTCCTAAACTATCTCTAATTCCTATTTATCCTCTCCCCCACTTTTTATCTACATCCATGTAAAGAAAGTTTCAAATAAAAATTTTCAGAATTACTTAAATATTGTAACAAAATTATATGCTAACTTTAAAATATTCATTCAAAACACAAACATTAATTGTAATATATTTAATAATAGTCATATTATTAATAATTCTATATTTTTACAAAAGTCATCATGAAATTATGTAGTAACAATATAAATTATAATTTTATGAATTGTTAAATTTAAATGTTATTCAAATAATAAAAATTTAAAATTAAAAAACATTATTTAAATATTTCAA